AGAATAAGGAATGTAGAATACTTTGCAGCTTGGCCTTATAGAGGAGAAATGGCCAGCTGAAAAGTGTCAACCAGGTAGCAAGAGGTGTGTGTGAATTAGAAAGTAGATCAAGTCTTGTGATTGTAGGACTTAATTATTAAGATTAACGATTAATTAGGATGAATTAGTGATCTAGTTTTTCACGCGTTTGGCTTGTTGTAATCGTTGTTGACCCTTGGATTATCCTGCTCAACTTCGACCTCTTCTCTAATGTAATATGCTTTAATTTTACTTACATGTCGTGTGAAGTTGTTAGAAATGATCATTGCCCATATTGTGAGCTTCACCTGAATCAACAGTTAAGAGTCGCCCGCGCATGTCCTTACCATCTTCCGATCAGAACTTAAAACTGTTGAAATTTAATCCAATCCTTGCTCCTTAAGTAACTTCAGTTTTATTTTCCCTAACCACGAGAAACAAATGTGAATGCTTAAAGGAACCAAAAACGACAATCATTTGCATTTGTTTCCGGCTTCGGAAACTTGGAAACGAAGAGAATAGTATTTGCTTCAACTTTCTTCGGAAACATAAGCTGTTTTTCTACCTCTCAAGTCATGGAGGCCATGTTCTTTTACACAACACATACAAAAAACCACCGTCATACAATTGTACTCCACTGCAGGCATGCTGCTGATTAAGGAGCTCCTGCCTTCCGGGCTCTCTTCAACAGAAAACGTAATGAGAAAAACCCAAGCACAAATGTCTGCCAAAACCATCCTCTTGAGTTAGCAGGGTCCACCCTTTTGGCCAGGTGCCACGCGTACACACCCTCTACGATGTGTAATCCTGCAGCTACAAGGAATACAATCCTTAATACTCGCATCGACCGGAAGAAGAAGAGGCTAATAGCTCTGAAGAGTGGCACTGGCCCTATGTCTGGCAAATAAGCAGCACAAAACAGTGTGGCCATTCCGATCACACAAAATAGCCATGTGTAAATTGTAGGGCCATCCAGAGTTTTCCGTTTCCTCTCTTGCCAGTACGAGATTGTAGCAGCCATGCCCTCTTGAGGAGTCACCATTGGGACATATCCAAGTTCCTCCTTAGCTTTAAGGAAAGAGAAGTAATGTGTAACGCCAACCTGTAAATTATATAACGAATTCAGCAAATGTTGGCAGTGACTGAATAAAAGTAATTGGATTCACAACACGTGTCTACATACGATATAGATGTACAGTCTCAATCAATAATACCACGTCCAAACTAACAAAAATATCTAAGTGTGAGGTGTCCCTTTAATCAATTGATGGTTTTCTCATATGATTCGAGTCACACTATTTCTTAGAGCTTGATTTCTCTCGGGATGAACCATATAGCCAAGAGAAACTGATCATCAGGATACAGAAGCTTGCCACACCCTTGAGATAAAAAAGAACATAACCATGGTATCACTTCAAACAGTGAACAAGTAAATACGGTCCAGTGAGTCAGAAATTATAATTAAGACGAGGGAAGTCATGTGTGCTAGATGGACAGCCTTGTCAACTTAAACCAAAATTATATTAACTCTCTTTCCATTGCAGACCTTATTGTTGAAAATTGAGAGGGTAGAATTTTGAATGGATATATGCATTAACCAAGTCTATTCAGCCAAACACTAGAAAAGGAAGGAATAAGCAAACCTTGTAAACTTCAGCAGGAAGGATGAAAGGCTGCGGAAGCCACCATCGATTCAACCATGGATATAATAGAGTATAGACTGCCCAGAAAACCCTTCCCAAAAGAAGCGCACGAGGTACAGACAAAGAAGCCTTAGGTAGGTCATATTTCAAGCTTCTCAGCAAAGGTCGGATGAACTCAAAGCTGTTGACTGGAGACCCTGTAAGAAAGGTTGGTTTTCTCCTTTTACATTTCAGATAATAATATTACTCATAATGTCTAAGAAAGAGAGATTTTAGTACAATAATATGTATCTAGACTCTTAAGACTTTTAAACTTATCCGTATTGGCAAACCAGTCAACAGGATGAGAAATAAAAGCAACTAAATTAATAGAGATAATGTAAGGGCTGCGTTGTTACCATCAGATACAAAATAGGGCTGGCCAGCAGCTATGGGATGCCTTTCTTTATTTTTCCCAGGAATGTCATCCAAAAGTCCCATGCTTGCCATTATCAGCGCAAGTACTAGATTATCCACATAAATCCAGTCTGTTTTCACATTTGGTTCGCCAATTTTGAACGGAATCAGGCCTAACTTTGCCAGAGACACTATCCTTGGAAAGTGCCTTTCTTCACCTGGTCCATAGATAGCAGCTGGACGAACTGCACAGGTATAAAGACACTTCCCAGTCTTCTTCCTATATGAGATTGAAACAACCAGTCCTCAATAAACAATCAAGGCTAAGATAAACTAATTATGGGAGAAGCGAATACAACACTCTTTTGCACGCATATCCTAAGTTACACAAATTCATCATGCACACAAAAGGTTGTGTCACGAATACAACACTCTTTCGCTCGCACACATATCCTAAGACACAAATTCCCATTACACTAGAATGACCCTAAAGTAACCAACACCATCTCTTGCTCGTTTCTTGTACATTTAACCTAAGACAAACAAATTCCAAGTACACTAGAGTGTCCTTACTAACAAACACTATCGAACGCTTACTTGAATAAGACATTAAGAACGATTGCAATTGAAAATACTTACCTGAAAGGTCGAGCATTGTACTTTAAGACCAACTGCTCGGCAATTGATTTACTCCGGCCATATGGATCGACATGGTTGTCGATAGGGTAATAGCGCAAGGCCTCGTTCCCATTGACAATCTCCTGTCCCCCAAACACAACATTATATGTGCTCACATAAACAAGCCTTTGAATCCCGAACTCAAGACACGTGTCTAAGATATGGCAGGTTCCATTTATGTTGACCTCATCGACACGACCGAACTGCAGCATTTCTTTTCCTGACATGCCATACGAAGCAAGGTGGAACACACAGTCTGCTCCCCGCAGAGCTTTTTCAACATCCTTTTTCTGGGTTACATCCCCTACACATTTATAATTCATACATTTTCATAAATATAAAAACTTTCAATAAAACCCAGAAGTGAAAACAGGAACTGAAAACGAAATGGTTATTAGATTAAGAAAAAAGAGAAGGGAAAAGAAAGAAACGAAATTAGAATTGGGAGGAAGACGGAACCTTGGACGCAGTGGACGCCGTGCTGGCGGAGGCGATCGGACCAAGGAGAGGCTGTGCGGAGATCAAAGGCTCGGACTTGGTGAGCACCTCTCCGGAGCAGCTCCAAGCAGAGTGCGGAGCCTACGAAGCCCAACCCACCGCTGACCACAAAAGTGTTGCCCTCTATGCCTTCGTTTTCGCTCAGGTGCATCTTCTCTCTCACTCTCACTCTCTCTCTCTCTCTCTCTCTCTCTTCTGTAAGAGTAAATGAGTAGGATTGTTTAATTGAATCAGAACTCCCAACTCCCAACTCCCAACTCAGCTCACAACAAAAGTGAGAACTCAGATCACAACAAAAGTGAGAGAGGTAAGAGAGAGAATGATACAAGAAATTTATGCGGGCGAGTCTCTATGCTTTCAATTCTTCATTAATTATTTACCCAAAAAACATTAACACTTTCAAATAGTTTTCATTTTTTATTTGGGTAATTTTATTTAGACCCAACAATACTCTTTCTACACTCAGCTACAAAATTTTTTTTATGTAATTCCTATATTACCCCTTATACAAAATAAAATAAGAAACTGAAAATTAAATATCTTTCTACACCCATTCAACCGATATAGAACCCACATATATCTCCACCACTCAACCACCACTTCAGAGCTCCCTCCCTCTTCCTTCTTCTGCATATAGAAGTAGTTAGGCAGGATTGCTAAATTAGAAATCGCCTTCAACAACCCGACCCAATACAAAATCCATTTGACTCCATTTTGGACTTCTGCAACAAATCGCTTATGGAGTCGACAATGCCACTTAGTTTTGCCTATTAACAGCAAGGCCCTATCACGCGCAATAGAAGAAAAATGGAAATATTCACTGGACGTTTGGTGGAGTAACCACCGCAAAGAATTGGTGGGTGTGGAAGAGGTGGGGGGAACACACAAAGAATATCAGGGAAAAAAAATAGTCGGGAAGGAGACAGACCCAACAAATACAGGGAGGAGAAGCCAGAAGGAGAGAGAACAGTCGTGAAATGGATTTGATGAGTTTTTCTTTTTCCAGTTTATTTATGTTTATAATTTATGAGGGTAAACTAGAAAGTTTAGGTAACAAAATATTAAAGTTGGGTTTAGAGAGAGGAAAATTGGGTCCACATAAAATTTCTCTTTTTATTTTTGTTTAGTCTGTCATTTTCCTATACCATGGTATGAACTAAAACTAATGATAATTTTAATTATATTTTAAAATTTATTAAGAAAATAAATTGTTTAACAAATTTTAAAATAGTATTTTTCATGTCCACTAATGTACAATGAACGTACATGATTGTTTGATTCCCGGAATCCCCACAAAGAGGATCTGACAGAGATCCTTATCCTATTAGCAATATTTAATTAAATCCCCTCAAATGAATAGTAATTGACTTTAATTAATAGTAATTTTCTATTATATCTTCACCCTACACTGAATAGCTCATTCAATTCATATTAAAATATTAGTATTTTTTATTGTATAAAATAATAAAAAAATATTTTTATTTTGTAATTTTGGATAAGAATTTTTAACCAATTTCGTCATGCCACTTATTTCGTTAAGATTTTTATCCAATTTTGTCAAGCTCGTTACCTGTTTAGAATGGTTAAGACTAGATTTTTGATAGATTTTTAACCAATCCCGTCACGCCAAGTGTTACTTTCTATTTAGAATTTTTTAGGATATATTTCGATAAGATTTTTAACAAATTACGCCGTGCCACGTGACATTATCTATAACCTAATCATTTCTTCTTTTTTTCTCTATATAACCCACCATCCATCCTAAGAAATCACACACTAAAATCAAAATCTCTCAAATCTATTTCCCAATCCTTCTTCAAAGTTTAAAAAATATCCGAATTAAATATAACCAAATATTCAGATTTCTCGCATTTCTTAGAAAAAGGGCTTCGGAGCCGCTCTGCGGTTTCGTTCCGGAACCCTAGAATTTGCGTGTCGCTGTAATTTTTCTGAATTATTGGTAAGTCGAACGTATTTTTTGGGCTTAGTTTTCGATTTTCCTTAATTTTCACTGAATTTTCTTAATGATTCTTTCACTGTAAATTGGCAAAAAATATATATTATTTTTCTTAAAAAAACAAATTGTTCGTTGGTGGAAGTAAAATGCTGAATTTTGTTTCGTTTAAGCTTTAATATTAAAATATTTTGCTTGATCTGTGCTGATACTTGAAAAAAAAAAAATGTAATTTTTTTCCAGGTCTTGTAATTCTGGAAGTTATTAGGGTTTGTTGTTGGTTGTGTAAATTAAGTTGGGCTATTGGTTTTTACTCCCAGATTGGTGGGTGGTTGCTGTCAGGGTTAGGGTTTAGATACTTTTGGCAGAATGAGCTTACTAATTGGAATCTACCACCATCTTCTTCTTCTTCTTCTTCTGCTTCTACTTTGATTTTCCATTTTGTTTTACTGGTTCTTGAAGAATTCAGATACTAAATTGAATAATAATAATTTCTGTTTGAAAGAAAAGTTTTATTTATTTATTTATTCGTTATGTGTGTAGAATGTAGATTAGGGTTTGTAAATTGCGGTGATAAGGAAATGGTTAATTTCTTTGTACTGATCTGCTTTTTTTTTTTTTTTTTTTTCAGGGATTTTGGTTTGATGGAATTTTAGTACAAGTGAAAATTGCGAATTTTAAAAAAAATTAATATTCTGCCTCACCACCACCCACTTCCAGTTCCACCAAGAAATCAAGAGGCAGACCACCTGGTTCTTCCAAGAAGCATCAATTGGATGCTTTGGGGTAACCTTTCCTTCCTTTTCCATTCTAAATTCTTAAATTCTTAAATAAATTTCATTGGGTTTTATTTATATCCTATGAATCTTATATTTTATTTTGTTTTAGTGGTGGGGTGCATTTGGAATCTGCTTTGTTCTGGGTCTTTGATATTGTTATTATTTTTGTTTAGCAAATATTTCTGTGACGTAGGAGTAGAAGAGTAAGAAATTGATGTGGGCAGCTGTATCACATGAGTATATGCTTTCAATTCTTCATTGATTATTTACCCAAAAACAATAACACTTTCATATAGTTTTCATTTTTTTTTAATTTAATCTGTCATTTTCCTATACAGTGGTATGAACTAAAACTAATGCTAATTTTAATTATATTTTAAAATTTATTGAGAAAATAAATAGTTTAACAAATTTTAAAAATAGTGTTTATCTTGTCAACGAATGAAATATAGCTGAATGTAGCTCTTAGGCTCCGTTTGGTTTTGCGAAAAGCAATTTATGGGAAAGCATTCCCCATGTTTTTCCTTAAGAGCTTTTCCAAAGCGTAAAAGCTCTCATTAGCAATAGGTAAGTCAATCCCCTCAAGTGAATAATAATTATCTTTAATGAACAGTAATTACCAATTGCATTTTCACCCCTCCATTGAATAGCTCAATCAATTCATATTAAAATATTAGTATTTTTATTTTATAAAATAATAAAAAAATATTTTTATTTTGTAATTTAGGATAGGATTTTTAATCGATCTTGTCATGCCACGTGTCTTTATCCGAAAGTATAATTTTTTGTGATAGATTTCGATAAGATTTTTATCCAACTCCTTCGAGTCATATGTCGTTACCAGTTTAGAATCGTTAATGATAGATTTCCGATAAGATTTTTAACCAATCTCGTCACGCCACATGTCACTATTGGTTAAGAATCTTTGATGATAGATTTCCGATAAGCTTGTTTTGTGGTTACAGAGGTAGTCAACCCTACTCAGATGGATTATTGAGCCACACAATGACATTTTGGATCCTAACTCGGGCCACATGTCTAAGATACTTAAATTTTTGTTTTTTAGGATGTCCACAATGGTTGTTCGTATTTAGAGTCCCAAAACATTTTTGACTCCATGGAACACCAAAAATGTTTTGAAACTTTAAATACAAACAACCAATGAGGACATCCCATCTGAAAAAATTTAAGTATCTTAGACATGTGGCCCGAGTTGGAATCCAAAATATCGTTGCGTGGGTAAGCAATCCATCAAAGTAGGGTAGTAACCCTTGTCACCACAAATACGAGCTCATTCTAAGTTATGGAACCAATAACCTTTAAAAGGTTCTCATGGTGACTTTGCTACTATATGATCATCTCATCCTGGTAAGAATGGAAAATCAAGTAGGGAATTGTCACGGTCTTTTTCTTTGATTCTTTAACCTATAACATTGGAAAATATAGTTTATGAAACGAGACGCAAAATTACAATTCAGTTTTAATGTAACACTAGATTGTGACTATTCCAATTACTTACCTAGACATTTTAACTTGCAAATGAAAAACAAATCCCCTTTGAAAGGTGCTACTATAGAATAAAAGCCTATCAATAACAAGTCTTATCGTGGATCTGAAATAAGAATGGCACTGAGACTTCCTAGTACATTGGCAATCAATATATACCTATAAGATGCTAATTATGCTCTATACAATAATTTGTAACATAAAAATGTTCAAGAACATATCATTTTGATTGAATTAAAAGGTTGTTGTAACTTGTAATTACTCATTTTCAACATTTGTTTGTTCACACAGATACTTATTACCAAAGTGATGTATTCTCATATTTGACAGTTTGCTTTGTTGCTACAAAGCACTATAATCCTTTGGTATGTTTATTAATTGCCTTTATTATATTATTTTCCTTAATTTCACTTTTCCTTTACGTCTCTCCTACATTTTTGTTTTTTGCAGTGAAAGATTCAAGACGATGTTTTTGATTCTTACTTGTGTTTGTTTTTTCGATTTTGTTGTGCATTTTCATGGTATACACAAGTTTATAATACAAAAAAAGTTATTAGGAAAAGAATTTAAAGGTAACACTGATTGATTTGTCTTTACCTTTTTGGTTTTTGATTTTAAGTGATTGTTATGTAAATGTGATGCTGTTTGTATGTCAGTAGACACCTAAATTTTGCAAGCAGGCATGCGCAAGGGATTTGGGCTTAATTGTTGTCCTCTCGAGTAACAAGCCGATGATCCCAAAACCTCGAGAGGACAACAATTAAGCCCAAATCCCTCGCGCATCACCCTTGTTACTCCGGATATTCAAAAATAATGTGCATCAACATGCCTACTAGCAAAATTTAGGTGTTTGGTGACCTGCAAACAGCAACACATTAGGGTAAAGACAAATAAATTGGTGTTACCTTTAAATTCTTTTCCTAATAACTTTTTTTGTATTATAAACTTGTGTATACCATGAAAATGCACAACAAAATCGAAAAAACAAACACAAGTAAGAATCAAAAATATCGTCTTGAATCTTTCACTGCAAAAAAAAAATGTAGGAGAGACGTAAAGGAAAAGTGAAATTAAGGAAAATAATATAATAAAAGCAATTAATAAACATACCAAAGGATTATAGTGCTTTGTAGCAACAAAGCAAACTGTCAAATATGAGAATACATCACTTCCGTAATAAGTGTTTGTATGAACAAACAAATGTTAAAACTGAGTAATTCCAAGTTCCAACAACCTTTTAATTCAATGGAAATGATATGTTCTTGAATATTTTTCTGTGACAAATTATTGTATAGAGCATAATTAGCATCTTATAGGTATATATTGGTTGCCAATACTAGAAAGTCTCAGTGGCATTCTTATTCCAAATCCACGATAAGACTTGTTATTGATAGGCTTTTGTTCTATAGCAGCACCTTTCAAAGGGAATTTTTTTTTCATTTGCAAGTTAAAAGGTATAGGTAAGTAATTGGAATAGTCACAATCTAGTGTTACGTTTAAAACTGAATTGTAATTTTTCATCTCGTTTCATAAACTGTATTTTCTAATGTTATAGATTAAAAGACCTTGATTTTCCATTCTTGCAGGGATGGGATGATCATATGGTAGCAAATGTCACCATCAGAACCTTTTAAAGGTTATTGGTTCCATAATTAAGAATAAGCTCGTATTTGTGGCGACAAAGGGTCACTAATGTACTTCGATGGATTGCTTACCACGCAACAATATTTTGGATTTCCAACTCGGGCCACATGTCTAAGATGCTTAAATTTTTTATTAGGGATGTCCTCATTGGTTGTTCGTATTTAAAGTTTCAAAACATTTTTGGTGTTCCATGGAGAGTCAAAAATGTTTTGGGAGTCTAAATACGAACAACCAATGAGGACATCCTAATAAATAAATAAAATCGAAGTATCTTAGACATGTGGCCCGAGTTAGGATCCAAAATGTCGTTGTGTGACTCATCAATCCATCTGAGTAAGGTAGTGACTACCTCTGTAACCACAAAAACAAGCTCATTTTCAATTACAGAACTAATAACCTTAAAAGGCTACTATATGATCATCCCATCCCGGCAAGAATGGAAAATCAAGTAGGGAACAGTCGCGGTATTTTTCTTTGATTATTTAACCTATGAGAGGTCGCACTTGGTGCGATGGCAAGTGCCTTCGTCCATGAGCGGTAGGTCTCGGGTTCGAGACTTGGGAGCAGCCTCTCCATAAATAGGGGTAAGGCTAGCCGACATTCACCTCTCCCAGACCCTGCGTAAAGCGGGAGCCTTGTGCACTGGGTACGACCTTTACCTATTTAACCTATAACATTGGAAAATACAGTTTATGAAACGAGACGCAAAATTACAATTCAGTTTTAAATGTAACACTGGATTATGACTATTACAATTACTTACTTAAACCTTTTAACTTGCAAAAGAAAAAAAAAAATCCCTTTGAAAGGTGCTGCTATAGAACAAAAGCCTGTAAATAACAAGTATTATTTAATATTATTCACATAAATACTTATTACCGAAGTGATGTATTCTCATATTTGACAGTTTGCTTTGTTGCTACAAAGCACTATAATCCTTTGGTATGTTTATTAATTGCTTTTATTAATATTATTTTCCTTAATTTCACTTTTCCTATTTATATTTAATATTTAAGTAAATAGCAAAATTATAGATAGGGAACTATACTAGCGACCTACCTAATTTTATTATAGAAATTTTCGGGATCAATGATTGGACCTTGCAAACTAAAAATACATTTTCTTCGTCTCTCCTAATTTTTTTTTCGTAGTGGAAGATTATGGACAATGTTTTTTATTCCTACTTGTGTTTGTTTTTTCGACTTTTTTGTGCATTTTATGTAGGGGTAAGCTAGTGAGACTAAATTTTTAAATTAAATTTTGTAAACTAAATGATGTGGTTGTTGATGATTGTATTATTACTTAAGTATTGATTAACATGAATATTTTCTATTAGTGACACATCATTTAATTTGTAAATTTAATTTAGAATTTTAGTGTTCCTAGCTTACCCTTTATATAGGGGACTATGCGGCTAAATACAGATGGATGTTGCTTTTGGTTTTCTTAATTTATTATCGTGCCCAAAAGTTGTAGCTTATTACTTTTTCCTTGTTTCGACTTGCTTACCGTCAGGGGATTTTTATAATCGTGCTCGCTGTTAATGAAATTGAGTTGAAGAAAAAAGCTATATATTATAATTAATTTTTGAATTCATAAATATAGGTAATGCTATCCACACACATTTTTTAATTTTCAACTCTCAAATCAAATAAATTGAATAAGATCAAATGACATAAATTGAGTGAGAGCTAAATTTTTTGTGTAAAATAGCACTAACCTAAATATAATGTCTCACTCACTCGATCTATATCTATAATGTATCACCCATATTTATATATAGGCACTCCTTTTCTTAACTTGCAATAAAGAGAAAAAGAAAAGGAAGTTAAGAAGAGAAAGGGGAAGTTGTAAATTCTAGAAGTTGAAGTTGTTGAATCTGATCAAGCTTCCATAACTGGCGCTGGCGTAAGCAGAGAGGAGCTCGTTTTGTGGAGACCAGAAATCGGCTTTCAGTCCTCCTCTCTTGATCGCTTTCAGTAATTTGTTTCTGTGCAGATATCCTGCGGCTGTTGTTACCACCACCTTCTGACTGTATGCGTCTACTTCAACCTTTTCTATCCCTGCACCATGCAATCAAATGAATCAGATTCACCACCAATATTAAACTACCTACGTAATCACTATATGTATGAGTAATGCAATGCATGAAGGTTGATGGACTACCTCTTAATTTTGAAAGGCATTTTCTAAGTCGCTTCTCATGTATGCCAACCATCTCCACCTTCAATTCCACTGTCTGCAAAGTCAAATTACTGTAAAATGTAACAAGACTTGGAGGGGAATAACCTTATAAGTGAAATGATAACCGTACACTTCTTTTCTTGTTCTACACACTTCTTTATTTTTAGTCGTATAATTGAATAAATCAAACAGAAAAAATGAACAGGATTAACCAGTAGGGCGTAAGGGGTGCAAAAATGTGTGTAGTTATGGTTTCCTTAAAATTAACCAAATGGTGGGCAAGAACAGATTTTTTAGATGATTAGATCAATAACCGAGTATCGAGCAATAAAAATACGTGGTTATGTAATTACCTCCATTGTCGAGAGAGATACTTTTGCAGACTGGAAATGATTAACTGATGATGTATGTATATGATGCTTGAGAATATATAATATTTTCAATTGGTATAGAAGGAAGGAAAGAATGGAGAACCTAAATATCAATAGAGATGGAGCGCAGGTCATTTTATACCCGGAGGAGGGGGAGGGGGAGGGGGAGGGGGAGGCGAAGGGGGACAGGAAAACAGTAATAAAGTGAGTGATGCTGGATTTTGGTACTCCCCACAAAACCATCATCTGCTTTGTTTGCTTTGCTTTTTCAAAATTAACCCCCATCCTCGTCCCAGAACAAAGAAGCTCAAGCTTCTAGGGAATTATTGCCTTTGACCGTCCAACTAACCTTTCCTTTTCCCCTTATTCCTTTCTTTCTCATAGAGGATTAGGAATTAGGAACAATTGGGATTGTCTCAAGGGAAAATCATCAACCTTAAGTTACATGATCTAAGCCGTCCTTCTTCAGAATCTTTCTTTTGTGGGTCCAACCAGTGAAATCCTGCTGCATGCATGTACAATGTTTGGAGAGCCTTCATGGTATTTCAATAATCTGAATTGTCTAATTTTTAAGTCTTTTTTTAAAGATTATCTTAAATACCACACTTAAATTTGAATCTATTTAACCATGTGAAAACTGGTTGTTAATTTCGTGTTTTCTTTTAATATTGTCTTTTTCTTTTTATTTTTCACTGAGATTTTGATGTCTAAATGATTTTGAATCCGTCTAGTTTTTTTTTTTTTAAGAATTATCTATGAATGATCAATGAATTAGAAAACCGACTACTCAAATTGTTGAAATAAAAATTGAAGCAGTTGATTCCACATAGTATCCCTTGAATAAGGTTATCTAAGAGATCCCTCAATATAACATGAAAAAGAAACTATATGTATGTGTGGTGACATGCATGTTTAATTATGCTAGCTATATACTCTTTAGTTGATAAAGACAAAGTGATCCCTCGATCTCCATGTAATGTTGCATTGACCGAGCATGCTTCATACTTGTCCTCGTTGCAAACTGCAAGGTGGGGAAAAGGAAAAAGGAGTAAGGTAAAAGAGAAAAGAGAATAAATTAAAACCTCAAGCATGGAAAATATACTAGTCTGCAAGTTTGGAATTTTTGGGTTCCTTCTTCTATGCACCTAGCTTGCTTACCACATCAATATTAGATGCTACGGTTTTAAGGGAAGATTTGAATTGGTGCTTGTGTGTCATCCTTATCTAGTGAACCTTTTTTTCTTAAAAAGAAACACGCTTAAACCGGAGCTTATAGTTTAATTACTTACTTTAGAACGTTCACTTCATTTAAATTCTGAATTCAATTATCCATCATCTACTATCTTGGGTAAAAGAACACACACATAAAGAATCATCCGAAAGGAGGTCTAACCAAACAACATAAAATAAAAACTCAACCTAATATCCCAAACACCTTAAGTAACCAAATTACAAGGGCCGGTAGGTTGTAAACTTGTAATGGCAAATGGTAGCCTAACAAAAACGAATAAATAAAGATACCTGTGCAATTAAATGAAAAGAAAATTAAATAAAGATTCATAACTAATATTTAAAATCAGAAACACTTGTAAACACAACTGGGGTGGTGGCGCAGTTGGCTAGCGCGTAGGTCTCATAGCTTCTGAGTGATCCTGAGGTCGAGAGTTCGAGCCTCTCTCACCCCATTTTTTTTTTCCTTCAGATTAGTTACATGCTCACTTGTATTGCCAAATGAAAGAAGGTAGGGGTGCAATTTATAGCGGGTCAACTCCCATTCGTCCATGCTCAACTCAATTTCAAACCCAATTGAGTGGGTTGGAATGAAATAGAAACCCTTGGAGCCCAACCCATATTGGATTGGGTTGATGTCTTCTCCGCCCATATCAACCCAACTCGAATTCTCTCATGCACACATTACCCATTTCGCTTATATAAGTTTGGTTTGGATAGCTATAATTGAAGCACCCTGAATTAGTCCATGCCAACTGAATTTCAAACCTGATCGAGTGGGTTTGAATGAAGTAAAAACCCACACAATCCCAACCAAATCATTTATTGGGTTGCGTTGATGCCTTGTCCATTCATGTCAACCCAAACCCAACCCAAATTCCTTCATGCACATGTTACCCATTTCGCTTCATTTTATTGGAACAATGAACGATGATGTTGCTTTTACATTTCTTGCGGTTGAAACTTTGGTATTCTCTTGTAATTTTATTTTAAGTTTGCATGGTTGAAACATTATAAATGGTCTCCACAATCTAACATGCCCAAGTTACAACCCTAATGGAAAGGAAGCCATAAGCCATAATCAATTATCTTTTCTGCTTGTGTTAAACAAAGTTCCTCAATTCTTAAACTATAGGTAATTATGTATACTTCTAATTAAGAAAACAAATTTACAATTCTAAACCCCAAATACAAGATATTTGTCAGTATAACATGTGTAATTAATATTTTATTAATAAACTATAGAAATGTGATGTATCACTTCACCTCCATGCCAAGTGGTTTGGAAACACATAAAAAATTTGTGAGTTTAAGGAGGTTTTTCCAATAAAGAGTATTACTGTAGAGAAGTTTTTCCAATAAAGAGTATTACTGTAGAGAGGTTTTATTGTATTTTATGCAAGGAAATAATTTCTGCACACCCGTGTTTACTTTGCTCTTTACCCTTTGTAGATGCAAATTTCGTTGAAAATAAATGTTCACCAACGCATTAAATTTCGACATGCGAGGGCTTATGTGGCATGTACCATGTGTCTCATAAGTTGTTCACATAGATGTGACTTATCAAAATAAAAAAAGTCATCAAGAAAGACACGTGTCAACACTTGACGAAAATGAATTATTTGATTTTAATTTAATTAAATAAAAAAATTAGTTGATGGAGTCAAATCAAGAACTGGCCCACAAATAGAGTCATGGTTCTTTTGTCAATTAATCAAGCCCATGATCAAGGCCAAATCCATATGTAGGAAAAGCTTAGAGAGTCTATAAATAGGAGGCTTCAAGACAAAGAAACATGGTCCAGAAAATTATTCACGCTCAGACACTGAAGTTTTGAAACTCTGAAGCTCTCAAGCACTCAACCCCCCCCCCCAAACACTCAAACACTTAATAAGACTAAAAAAACCCTCCACGTTCTTTGCCAAACCTGTGAAAAATCATCAAGCATTGCTACCCGTGCTGGTTCTTCCATCGCCACAAGCTAAGTCCATGCGGCAATCGTTCATCAGAGATCAAGTCATCGCGACCCTCGGATCAACGACACATATCTACACATCTTCAGAGGTCGAATCAGAGAAAACTTTGTAAACAGAAATTGTAACCTTAAACTCATTAATACAATACATTTATTTTGTACATGTATTCTTGTTTGATTTGCTACAGGATTTTCGTGCCCTCTGTTTGGATGAGAAAAATAATATTGGAATTTGAACAAAAGTTAGAACTTATAATTAACATGCACTGATTTTTCTTGTTTGGATTTTTAAGCATCTAAATTTAGAATTCCCTCGTGAAAAAAAAAACTTGAAATTTTGAACCTCCAATTCTCAAGCTTAAATTCCATATAAATTGTTGATAATTTCTATAAATGAGACTTTAAAAAATATAAATAAAAACAAAAACCTAACTGTGAGTAACTCTCAATGTCACTCCCACCCTTGTTGCCGTTGCTTCCACCCACAATCATCACTATTGTCGCCAACACCACTCACCATCACCAATACCATCACCATCCACCATCGTCATTGCCGCCGCTATCATCACCACCTATTATCATCACTATGTCGCCGCAACAACTACCCACCATCGTCATCACCCTCACCACCGTCAATTCCGCTAGTACATATCCTATTATATGTCACATTATATTAATGACTCTAGATACTCATTCAATTTTCAATTTTGTATCTAAATTTTCTTTTCTTTTTTAGGTTAACCAACGAGAAAATTCTCAAATTTTAGAAAAAAAATTCCATGATTTCGAATTCCAGAAAAGAAATTTCCATAATTTTAAAATTCCTTGAAAATCTTAGGGCCTGTTTGGTATCCTATTTGAAATTTTTTATCATTTCTCAAAACATTTCTTGAAAACAATTTTCTTTAAGACTCAAAAACTTGATTGGTTTGTGATTTAAAATTTTTAAATCTTACGACTTAAACTAGACAAAGATATTTAAAAAAAAAGGGTCGCATGAGAGGGAGAGAGAGATGGAAATAAAGTAATAGATGATTTAAGGAAAGAGAAAGAAGGGTGAGGATCGGACGAGACAGAGAGGAAGAGGAGTAAGAGAAAGAACCGAGAGAATAAAGATAGCAGATTGGAGGAAAGACGAAAAAGGTAAAAATAAAAATAAAATAAAATAAAATAAAAGATGAAAGAGAAAGAAGAAAAGAGAGAGAGATAGATTTGGAATGAGAGGGGAGGAGAGAGAGAAAAGAAATAAGTGAGCTTAAGTTTAAAAACTTTAAAAACTCACTTTTTATGTTGTTAGATAATAGACTATATTTTTTAGTTAGTCTCGAGTTCAGTTTTTGAAAATAGTCCTACCAAACAAGTTTTTAAAACCTAAAACTTGAAAACTATTTTTGAGTTTAAAAAGTTAGATTCAAGTAGAGTACCAAACAAACCCTTAAATTTCCTCATCCAAACATAGTTTAGTTTTCTTCTGATTTAACCGAATTCCCTTGTGCAATAATACTTGGTTTTTGTTTTGGGCCAGAAAAAGTACCTGGGTTCTTTAATTGTTGCAAAACATGGACTCAGCCCATCCCCTCCACCGCCCCGCCCTCTTACGTTTGCTTTATTTTCTTCTTCTTCTTCAACCTCAGCAGACAGCAGCGATCACGTCTTCTGCTTCATTTCTCTATCTTCCCGTTAGTTTTTACTTCTAACTAACCCAGCTCCAGCCCTCTCTCTGGTAACGCCTTATCTGGCCTTTCTTCTTCTAATCTTCTTCAATCGGCTCATTTACGAACCCCAGGTTAATTCTAATTCTTTAATTTCTGATTCTTAATTGCTTTTTGATTGAGGGTTTAATGTAGATTACATTTTCTGGTTAGTGGTTTCCATTTTATTTTTACCTTTTTATTCAAATGTTCCTGCTTTCTCAGTTCATTGTTATGCATTTGCAA